TGAACTATTTTATTGGAGTAATCTTTATCAAAACTCTCCCTATTGGATTGACGTAAATGATATTGAATCATCTTCAAATCCAATGCAATACTTTTTGGCTGGATACATACCAGGTTACAAATATTATTTTTCTTTGAGAGCCGTTGATATTCATGGTAGAAGTGGTCATTTTATCATAAAACTCATAAGACTTTAAATATCACTATTGTTATTACATATAATGAAATGGATAATTTTTCTTTCTTTTTTTGCTCAACATATTATTTTATTTAATATTTAAATTTTCAAAAAAAAAATGTTTCTTTCTACATCCCTAACACACACATTTCTTCTAATTTTTTAATTATATTTTCAAATAATTATTTAATTTGATTTAAATGAATTTGTATTTGTTTTCAATTATTATTTTATGTCTCAATATTAAAAAAAATAATATTCATGTATTGAGTAAGCATATCAAAAAAGAAAGAAATAATTTAAAAATAGTCTATTTATTTTAAAAATTAAAAATGTTCTTCTAATATTCAGATATTAAATAAGAAAATTTGTAACGCCTTTTAAGAGATTTAAGCATTATTATAAGTGTTATTTAATAATATGAAATATAAATTTGTAATTTTATAATATTTTTACATTTGTGTATGTAAATATATATAAACTTTAATATAGATAATTTAAAAGTAAAACAAACTAATAAAAAATAACTCATGTATCCCAAAGAAGTATAGAAGTTTTTCATAGGGAGACGATAGATACATCACGTATGTAATACAATACAAATTCGTTATAATTCTACTCTACAATCGCCAACGATTATTGTTAATACGAGGCAGCTAGACCATAAGACAACTAGTTGTGCACCACACTAGAATGCCGTTTTACCTTAAGCCTGTTTTAATCGCTATTATTGAAGCGGGAATGGGTCACCTGTGGGATGGTGGCTAACTGTACATCCAATAAGCAACGAGAGTAGACAATAATTAAATAACAAATAACCACATATATAAGAAATTCTTAAGAGAGTATCTTAAATTTAAGGGATAACGGGGGGCCCTTAAATAATAATGGCTCGCGAAGCGGCATAAAACAAAATAGTTAATTTCAATTAAAACAAACAATAAATAGCATTAAAAATAATATAAACTCAGCTGGTTAGATGAAGTTGTTGAGAGTGATGAGTGGACTGTATGTGATTTTGTGATAATGGTGTCGAACATCTGAATATGACGAGTCAGAGTGTAGATCCAGGCACTTAATGACAGACGGCGAAAAAAAGACTTGGCAATGAAGATATTTAGTGATAATTTAAAGATATTTAGGCCTAATTACTAGTGGCGTACAAGGGCACGAACACTTTGAGCACAAGGGTACAATAAACAAATAAAAGAATAACGTCGTACAATGACCGAAAGCTCTTGCAACAAAAATGAAAAGATGACACATAAAACAAATGACTTACTACAATGAATTGTACACGGATGAAAATTGACACGGAGGTCATTGAGTTGCCGCGCTAGGTAGGCAAAGAGGGAATGAAGCAAGAGGCTGGGATCAGCTGTTACGCGATATAATATAATCAACGATGTTTGTAACAATTAGTCAACTAGATCTTTGCTTAAGGTATTGTGTACTATTCAACCGTACCATGTTGAATACATCAGTTCTCGTCCGATCACTGAAGATAATATTTTAAAAAATAGTTTTCATTTCATGATAAGGATTCAGTTATTAATAAGCATATTAAAAAAGGAAAAGATAATTTAAAACTAGTCCATTTGTTTAAAAATTAAAAAATATTCATGAAAGAAACACCAACAACGAAATTAATTAGTCTATGAATTACTTAATACTTAAAAAAAATTGCATTTAGTGATAAGAGTTACACTATTTAAAATGTAACTATATTTATATTTAACGTATATTACCTATACGTTTAAAATATTATACAAAGTTAATATGATTTTAAACAATCATATGAGAAATTTAAAAATAACAAATCAATATTTTTCTAATATTCAGATATTAAAAGAAAATACATTGTAACGCAATTATAATAAATTTCAAATTTTGTTAAATAATTAAATCATAAAACCTAATAGGAAATGACTCATACATAAGCAGTATAAAAATTTTTCATAAGAAGACGATTAATACATAGCGTAAGTAATACAATAAAAATTCAGTATTAAACTATTCAGAAATTGCCAACGACCATACCACATTGAATACACCAGTTCTCGTCCGATCACTGAAGTTAAGAAACGTCGGGCGTAGTTAGTATTTGGATGGGTGACCGCTTGGGAACACTGCGTGCCTTTGGCATATTTTTTTTCAAAAAATGGAACTCCTTTTACACTTCTTAAAAGACTTAGATTTAGTATGATGAATTTAATTTCATCATACATAATGTTTAAATGTTTTTTTTATAATATTACAGAATATACTGTTACTATACACTAATTTCCTTTCTGGCTTACGTATTTTTGTTATTATGATTTAATAAAAATTGAGATCCTATTTACATTTAACTAATAATTGTTCCAAGCGGTCACCCATCCAAGTACTCCAAATAATCCTAATTAACAAACAAATTCAACTTCCTGGTGTACTTAATTTTATCATATATAGTAATATATATATATGTAGTAATATGCTCAATGCTTTGCATTACGCATCTTCTAATTATTAATGAAAAATGTATAATCTGTATTTTAAATAACTTGTAAACAAACAAATAATTTATCTGTCATAACAAATACGATGTTCAACACAATTTCTTATTATTTATATATATATGTCAATTTATCAATTGTTAAATATGTTATCTGAATATAATAATCCTGTAATGTATAATTAATACAATAAACTAAAAAGATTACTAAAAGCGCTGACAACAATATCCCTGGATTGGGGGTAATATCATTTTACTATAAAAAGCACTGAAATCCTTTCAAGTCGGAGAGAGACTCTGGAGAGACTCTAAGGAGTGACAGCGAGCGAGAGAGTTCGTTTTCTACGAATTGAAATAAGAATAAAAAAAAGGAACATTTATCAGTCACAGCCCTGTGTTGTTGTCGGCTGACTTTTACGCGTTTTATTTATATATGAAAAGAACTTGTTTTAATTATTTATCTTTTGAAGAAGTGCGAATTAAATACTTTTAAACATATATAAACATATCGAGATATTTATCAAATCATTTTACAGCAATTTGCAAGAATAAAAGAAGTAAGTAATTTTATGTTATCCCAATTATTTGGAGTTAATAAATTTGAGTAAAGGATGACAAAGCAATAGATCATTTATTAAATTAATATCTTAAAGTGTCAATTTTGACTGGTTGGTTAAAGAAATTATACATAATCACGTTATATGGTATTCGTGAACTGGCTCTGCCGTTTCGTTGCCTTAAAGATGTTTTAAAAAACCTAGCGTGATTTCTACTGTATAAATTAGGCTCTGGTATTCGTGGACTGGCTCTGCCGTCTCGTTGCCGAGGTATTCGTGAACTGGCTTCGTTGTTTCGTTGCCTCTTAGTTAGGACATTAGAAACTAACCAGACAAAAGTTTATTATACCTCTATAAGAGGAACTTAACATATATTTTTATATCTACTTGTCTTTGTCGTTCTAAACCCTCGAACCATACGACCCCGATAGAACCACAACATCAGGTACTCTCTATACTCATCGCTCATTTTCATCATTTATATTTTACCAACTTTTTACCTATTTTATTTATATTTTTGAATTATAACAGTCTTTTTAGAAGGGTGAATCTAAAATAAAATGAGAATCATTTTTTACGAAAATGCCAACAGCATATGCATTCTATAAAAATCGTAATTATAGTAAAATTAATTTCACTAGACAGTTGAATTTTTTTTTTTAATTATGATAGATTATATACTTTACTCCAAATTCCTCTATGATTTACGAATTTTTGTGATTCAATAAAAATTCGAGCAAAAAAATTATATCATATTACATATAATAATGAATGTATCGGTAAAAATTATATTTAAACCATTTTTAAGTTAAGAAATATAAGCAAAAAGTAAAAAAAGAACTAAAACAAATTGCCAACGGCAAGTAGTGTTCCCAAGCGGTCACCCATCCAAGTGTACTAACTACGCCCGACGTTGCTTAACTTCAGTGATCGGATGATAACTGGCGTATTCAGCGTGTTATGGTCGTTGGCGTTGAAGGGTATTTTTTGTAACATATTTAAAATTATGAAATATTAATGTTTATTCATTCATCTACTTAATATAAATTGAAAATTAAATGATTGCACGTCACATGTTTTACACGTTAAAAAGTATTAAATTGTTATTAAGATCTAATTATTTAATTAATTAATGTATATTATTAAACACGTTTTTTCTAATTTTAAATAAAGTTAACAGCAATTAAAAATGATTAATTTCGATGATGAAGGAAAATGTTTGAAATTATCAATTTGATATATTATATTAAAAATATAAAAACTATGCATGTAACCCTCATGAACATGTCTGTAGCTTGAGAAGTTTGACTGTGAGGGAATATAGTCCCTAACTATATTTCAAACATTTATATAAAAAACCTAACAAATACTTATCCACCAAATTGCTTCTACTTACCCCTCCCACACCCAAAATTATATTCTATTGACTTGAAGGGGATCCCATTGCAAACTACGCTACTACTCATGAATAATATATACGATTCTTGATTAAATACCTGTGTTGTGAACTGGCTTTTTGCTGCCTAATTGTAATTGTGTAATTTAATAGAATATATATTAACAATGGGAACGGAAGCCTTTTTTGTCTTGTATATAAAATATTTACCAGGCAAGCATCTAGTCCTTCTATAACAGGCATGACCAACGTACGGCCCGCGACACTGTTCTATACCGCCCATAGTATAATTTAGAATTTGAATAAAACAGTAGAAAAATTTGATAAATGCTTTATTTCAAATATTTCAGAAAAAAATTTAAATACAAAGTTAAAATCAGTGTGAAACTTGAGGTTGTTTTTGTAGCGCTAACTTCTTGATGTCAGGTTCAAATTTTGTAGTGGCAGCCCTTAGTAAGTAATGAAGATGATCATCTGTAAGGCGAGATCTTTCTTTGCTTTTGATACATTTCATCCTTGAAAATGTTTGTTCACACAGATATGTCGATCCAAACATTGAAAAAACACGTTGAGCCAGTTTTTTTAATTCAGGAAAATTATCGTCATCAAGATTTTTGTAAAAGTTTGGTAAATTCGTTCGATTTTCTTCGTACAAGTCCTTCTGTAAAGTATTAGTTTTCAGTTCTATTATTTCCATTTGAAAATTTTCCTGAACTACAGGTTCATCCATCTGAAAAGGATTTTCAATCATTCGAAAAAATATACTTTGTTCTTTAAGTTTTTTAAACCGTACATGAAAATCCGTTTTTAATTTTTCCAACAAGTCTACAAATTTTACTGTTGAAAAATTAAAAAAATTCCTTTCTTGTATTTTTTTACAGTAATTAAAGTATACAGGGTGATTTTTTTATCATAACCCACTCAATTACTTGCAGAATAATAATAATTTAAACATTTTCTTTTTTCATTATCTTTAGTTACACATTATTCTTGAATTTTTAACTATATAATACTTTTTAAGTTCATCCCTTATGCCTTGGAAGGGGGTCAACTTTGTTTTTTTAAATGGTAACACATATTTTTAATTTAATAAAATGTTTGAGTTTTTAATTTAATAGTAAATGGCATTTGAATTTTTAATATAACTTTATTAGTTTATTAGATATAAACATTTAAAGTTTCAAATTTTTGAATTAATATACATGTATAATACACATGGGATTGTAAATACAGGTAGCTAATTGGATTTTTATGACATTGCTGTCTCAGTCACGGATTGTTTATTATCAATTATGATTATCAATAGATATACTTTCTGTATTGTCAGTTAGTGTATTTATAAACTCATAACAATGTGCCTTACTACAATTGATAATAACAATGCTGTGTACCTGCTAATATCGATGTTATAAAAAACCAATTAGCTACCTGTATTTGTAATCCCTTGTGTATTATACCTGTATATTAACTCAAAAATTTGAAACTTTAAATGATTATATCTAATAAACGAATTAAGTTATATTAAAAATTCAAATGCCATTTACTATTAAATTAAAAACTCAAACATTTTATTAAATTAAAAATATGTGTTACCATTTAAAAAAACAAAGTTGACCCCCTTCCAAGGCATAAGGGATGAACTTAAAAAGTATTACATAGTTAAAAATTCAAGAATAATGTGTAACTAAAGATAATAAAAAAAAAAAAGTTTAAATTATTATTATTCTGCAAGTAATTGAGTGGGTTATGATAAAAAAATCACCCTGTATACAATTTTTATTTTCAATTTGTCTACTAAATAGATTTAGTAAAAAGCGGATNAAATAGATTTAGTTTCAGCTCAAAAGCGGACACGTCATTTAAGAGTTCAAATATGAATTTGCCCTGTGTCTGTAGTTTTAAATTTAAATCATTGCAGTGACTAGATATGTCGGTCAAAAAAGCTAAGTCCCAAAGCCACAATGAATCAGAAAGTTGAACGAATGTTTTTCCTTTCTCCGTCATAAAAATCTCTATCTCAGCAAGAAGATTAAAAAAGCGTGATAATACTTGGGCTCGGCTTAACCAACGTATCTGGTTGTGGTAAAGAACATCGGAAAATTCACTACCGACTTCTTCCAAAAATGCTTGGAATTGCCGATGATTCAAGCCACGGGAACGAATAAAGTTCACAATGTCTCTAACAACATTCATGACGTGGTCCATTTCGAGTACTTTGCAACATAACGCCTGCTGATGAATAATGCAATGAACAGGCAATGGCTGTTCTAAATTTTGAGTGGCCATTTGATGCAAAATTTTTGTGACTAATCCATTTTTTGAACCAATCATGCTTGGTGCACCATCTGTTGTTAGTCCGCAAAGATTTTTCCAATTTAAATTCAACTTTGTTATGCACTGCAAAACTTCTTCAAAAAGGTCATCTACAGATTNCTTCAAAAAGGTCATCTGCAGATGTGCGGTCTTTCATGCTCTGTAAAGATGCAAGCTCTTCAGTTATTGTAAATTCTCGATCTATTCCCCGCACAAAAATGAGTAATTGCGCTGTATCACGATTGTCCGTGCTTTCGTCCAAAGCCAAGGAAAAAAAAGAAAACTGTTCTGCTTTTGTTTGCAACTGATCTTGTAAATTTTTACCTATGTCTTCANGTTTGCAACTGATCTTGTAAATTTTTACCAATGTCTTCTATGCGACGAGTAATGGTGGGCCGAGATAGACTTATTTCTTTGAATGCAGAGCATTTCTCAGGAGCGATTTCTTCAATAGCTGCGATGATGCACTTTTTAATAAACTCGCCACTATTAAGCGCTTGTTGGTCTTTCGCAATAAGATTTGCAATCTTATAACTTGCTGTAACGAGCTTATCCTTTCCTTTTATNAATCTTATAACTTGCTGTAACGATATCGTCCTTTCCTTTTACTTGTCGCGAAAACATACTTTTGACAGCGCTTGTCTCGTCCGCGAATTTTTTTTTTAATAACTCCAATTTAGATTCGCGAGCCTTATCTTTAATACTTTCATATTTTGATTTGTGTTTGGTTTCATAATGCCTCTGAATATTAAATTCTTTATAAACAGCCACAGATTCACGACAAATAAGACAAGTTGGTTTCTCGTTGAATTGAATAAAAGTATTTATACATCCAAATGTCCTGAAAATGACGATTTTCTTCGGAAATTTTACGTATTTTTTTTTTTTTGTTTCAGACATTTTTATTAGAGTATTTATCACAGAGCTAAAAAAAATTATTTTTAAATAATAAATATTCGTTAATAATGATAAATTTTTATTTATAATGAATAAATTTTTATTATCAATAATTCAATGCACTTAAATATGACTTTCACTGGAATATAGTCGCTTTCACATTATAAGCAGGAAACTAACTGACTCAAGTGTGCAAAGGACGCATCAATTAATAGTAGGCAAATGTTTGTGTTTATATTTATTTATAGTATCAATGTTTTCTATCACCTTTAATCCCGCTCGTTTATGACCATATTTGGTAATGTTTACAATCTAAGTAGGCTTTTGATAATGTTTACAATAAAGGTAGATTTTAGATAGATAACACATTTAATAATGTTTATAATATGGGTAGATTTAAGTTAGATTATAAAAAATTTTTCAAAATGTGAATTTTCATAGATATGCGGCCCATCTAAGTTTTGTTGAAATGACAAATGGCCCGCAAACTTAAAAAGGTTGGTCATGCCTGCTCTAGACTCATGAGATGGAAGTTAAAACTAGCTGAATATCAATATGAAATAATCTACAAGCCCGANTGAAGTAATCTACAAGCCCGGTGCGGCTAATACAAACGCAGATTCCCTCAGCAGAATAGGACAAGTAATGCTATCTCGATCAGTTAGTCCTCAAAAACACATTACTTTTGACGAATATCAAGACATCGTCACCATGTCAGTCATACTAAATCTTGCGATACGCGAGGAGGAAGGACAACTTTTCGATGTTTCTCCAGATGTACATCTCGCCGTTTGTATTTCAAAAGATCTGAACATGAGACAAGGAATGGCCCTTTTGTTTAACCGCCGTTTCCCGAACTCTGATCGACTCCGCTCTCAAAATCTCCAAGTGGGGGAGGTCGGCTATGTTAAAACCGACACTCGCTACATCTTATATTTAGTAGTCAAAAATAAGTTTTGGAATGAACCTACAGCAGAAGATATGTACAGAACACTGCAATATCTTATTTCTTTATGTAAAGAACTTAAAGTCGAAACATTGGCTATGCCTCGTATTAACAATAGAAGCGACAACTCGGACTGGCCCAATATCCGCACAATGATTCGGTTTTTATTTAAGGACGCCAATATTAAAGTTTTGCTTTTCAATGAATTTGAACTAACCGAAGAAGATAAACAAGCGATCATCGCCGAACATCACGATAGTCCATTGGGAGGACACCGAGGTGTTTCACAAACTATCCAACGTATTCGATTACAATTTACTTGGGAAAACATCAAAGCGGATGTGGAAAACCACATCTCTAAATGTCGTTCGTGCCAAATTAACAAGCACGACTCTCATAACTCAAAACAGCCTATGGTAATTTCTACAACAGCTACGGAAGCCTTTGAGAAAGTATTCATAGACGTCGTTGGGCCGCTACCCCGCACGGATACGGGTAATGCCTACATCCTGACAATGCAATGTGATTTAACTAAGTTCTCAATCGCTGTGCCCATGTCAAATCACGAATCAAACACAGTAGCGTACCATTTCGTAGTGTCATTTGTATGTATACATGGTCTACCTCTTTCCCTAGTCAGTGATCAAGGCACCGAATTCCTCAGTCGCGTGCTCAGCGAGACGTGCAAGCTATTTAAAATTCAAAAGTGTAATACTTCTCCATACCACCCTCAAGCTAACGGTGCTCTAGAAAGAAGTCATCGTACCCTGGGCGAATATTTACGCCACTATGTCGACAAGGACCAGCGTAATTGGGACCAGTATGTACCCTACGCTATGTTTACATACAATTCTTCGATCTACTAAGAAATAACCATACGAATTGCTATATGGGTGTACTTTAGTCGTCCCTACGTCTCTCAGCAGAGCAGTGGAACCACGGTACAACTATGATGATTTTCATGCCGAACTAAAACAAAAACTTCAACTGAGCCAAAGTATAGCACGTGAAAAGCTCTTAAAACAGAAGCACAAAACCAAGGTTACGTATGATCAAACCATTCACTCACANAACAGAAGCACAAAACCAAGGTTACGTATGATCAAACCATTCACCCCGTAGATGTGCATGTGGGCGATCAGGTCTTACTTAAGGACCATGCCCGAAAGGGAAAATTCAGTGCTAAATGGCAGGGCCCATTCGTTGTGATCGAAGCCCACGAAAATGAGAACGTAACGATTCAAAAAGGACGACGTAGTGTTAGGGTCCACAAGAACCTGTTGAAAAAATTTGTGAATTAAACCATCTTTTTACCAACCCCCTGTTGGTCGGGGTATAGAAGGCCATCGGTGCGTCCTGCCTGTCGTAAAAGGCGACTAAAGGTGACGGGGAGGGATTTCTATCTCCTAAACTTTTCGATTTATCTAGAATCGTTCTTCCCATCTTTTTACCAACCCCCTGTTGGTCGGGGTATAGAATAGGCCATCGGTGCGTCCTGCCTGTTGTATAAAGCGACTAAAGGTGACGGCAAGGAACTACAGTGACGATACACATCACGTTTAATCGACACTGCCTTTTCCATTTTTCTAAANTCG